CCCAGAGGCACGTGGCAGGCCAGAGCGGCCGGGGCGCGGGGCATCACGGGATGGCCTCACCTGGCCTCTCGGAGGACTCAGGGAGCCGGAGGCAGCCAACCAAGGGAAGCCCCGCCCCCGAGGCCCAGCCCCATCGCCGAGCGCCGGAGCGCGGAGTACCCGGATGACGGCGTGCTGGAGGGGGCCTTACGGAGCGGCTGGGGCGGGGGCGCCTGAACGTGTGGGGGAGGTGCGCCAACCCCCTCGCCCGCAGACCCCGGTCCCCGGCCCCTGTCCGAGCCCCTCCGTTGCTCCAGGAGCCCTCGGACTCTTGGAAGCGGAAGGGCTACAGAGAGGAAGGAGCTGCCACCGTGCACATCCCGGACTAGAACCGGGCTAGTCCCCTTACCTCCCCAGTTTCTCCAGATCCAGCCTCTACTCTCATCTGACCTCGGCTCCGGGGGGTGCCAGGACGCACATCTCTCCCCTTTAAACTTAACTGTTCCGACTTTGAAGGGCCCAACTGGTCATTGGGCCAGCGGTATTAGTACCCTTAGTGCCCCGCTGCGGTGTAGATTCTGAACTCAAGGTCAAAACAAGTTTTGCCAGTGAGAACTAAACGGTCTAGGAGGGCTGTCACCCCTGCAACCACCAGGCCACCCCATATTAGACAGGCTCCTCAAGGAGCAGCAGGAAGATCCGCTGCTTAGAGCACCCTCAGAGTGGAAGGGAGCCAACCTCATTTTACAGACGAGGAAGCTGAGGCTCAAAGGGGAATTGGTTTGCCTCTGATCTCCCCAGGGAGCTCAAGCAGAGCTAGGTGCAGAGCCATGTATGGGTTCTTTATATGGAGTGTATGTGTGTTTGGGGGGGTGTGCACGTGCACCCACATACTTGGCCACACACAGTGAACTTGGATGCCCCAAAACCTCTGGACCAGGCTGAACTGTGGATGCTAAGATGTTGCAGTTTACTAGTCAGGTTTCCCACAGCAGGGACTCTGCCTGGCTGAAGGCACTTAATTAGCAGCAGCAGGAACAGGATCCGGCCAGCCCCTGTCCTGGTGGTTAAGGTACAGGCATCTCACAGGGATTAGATGGTTCAAGTGTGGTTTAATTCCCAGACCCCGCTGCTTGACACACATGCAGGGCATGCCTAAAATCCCTACAGGAGGGACAAGATGGAGAAGGGACTGCACCTTGAAAACGAAATACTCTGTAGAAAGACTACACATGGCTGGGAACCAGCAGTTAGCGTAATGGCTATGTCGCTGGACTCCCACGTAGTCGACCATGGTTCGCGTCCCGGACCCGGTGGCTTGAAACTCACGCCGGGCGCGTGTGTGTGCGTGCCCAAGATCCCGGGAGGAGAATGGAGGAGAAGGGATTGCGGCGTGACCATCCCCCCTGGTGATTTCTCGCTTTCTGTCTCTATGTCTCTCTCTCTGTCTGTCTGGCGAGCGCATGCGCCCTATAGTGAAAAAAATAACCTCTCAAAAAAAAAAAAAAAAAAAAAGAAAAGAAAGACTACACATAGGTTTGTATAGTCTTTCTACAAAGTATTTCATTTTCATGGTTTGAGTTTGGACTTTTACAAACTTGGATAAGTTAATTAGAACTCTCAGTCTACTTCCCTAAAGTAAAATGAGGTAAAAACAAGCAAAAAACTGGCCCTTCCACATGCGGTGCCAAAGCCAATGACAAGTGTGTGAAGAGGTTTGTAAACTTTTCCACTGCAGCTGATGCTCATGCGAAAGGCAAAGTTATTCTGTGGGTCATGTTGCTCCTTGATGACGAGGTGGGCACTAATCCTGGCATAAAAGCAGCCCTGTGCCCAACATGGATTGATCTGTCTTCTGGCAGCCGAGTGCAGGCGTGAACCTTGGTCAGCCCCACGCTCGTCTCCATCCCCACACCACGTACTAGAGTTTGGACTTGGATCGAAGTCTGGGGCAGCTCCCTAATTACTAGGGCACTGAGAGCGTGATCGTGCCAGTCGGCCGTGAGTGCCTTCAGCAGCTCGTATCGGGACCCACTCTTACAGGTGCTGCTGCTACCTCTGCCGTGTTCAAACCCAAGTAGCTCCCACGGGATCGTCCATCCTCCAGAAGCTCAGTGCAAGGGCGTGAACTCAAGTTGCTGCAGAGCATCCCGACCATGGTGAGTCCTTGGGGGCCCAAGGCAGAGGAAGACCACCACAGTCTTTAGCAGTGGGGAACTCAGCCCTGGGCATGCTGGGAGTTGCTCACACTCTGACCAAGAGAAGGTCAGAGGTTAAGAGAGAAGGTCATTCTTTCTCAGGATCTGATCCCTGCTTCCTTCTATTTCCTAGAGGCCACTGGTTCCAGCCAGGCCTAGGACTGTTGCCTGAGTCCCTCCAGTGCCCCTCTGCTCCCAGTCTTGGTTATGCATTTATTTATTTTTTAAAAGAATTATTTATTTAATTTTATTTATTATTATTTTTTAATTTGACCAGAGAGAGAAAGAGGGAAAGTAAGAAAGGAAGCCTTCAGGTCCAGGACTCAACCGTGGTTGACCATGTGGGAGTCCAGCACCTTAACCACCACACCAGGCAGCCCATTGGTCATGCGTTTAGATTAGAACATTGTCGGCTGTCTGATCTGTGATAGACACTGTACGGAGTCACAGAGGGAGCCATGCAGAACGACCTGTGCTTGTTCCTGAGCCTGGAGCATGTGTAGGTTGATCCCAAAGATGGGATACACTGTGGAAGGCTGACCATGCCCCTGGGCTTTTGCCCCAGGCCGACTCTAAAGCTGTTCTGGACTGAAAAAGGCCTTGAACGAATCTGGCTTCAAATTTCAGCCTGCCACCAGCCAACTATTAATACGCATGATCCTTTACAGAAACCTTGACCTAGAGCAATTTTTTTTAAAAAGAATTCTCAGGGCCAGCAAGTGGTATAGTGGTCGGGGTGCTGGACATCCACAAGACCTGGTGACTTGCTTTTTCACTTTCTTTCTCTGGTCAAATGAAAAAGTAATAATAACAAGTAAAATTAAATAAATCATTCTTAAAAAAAATAATCTTTCCCCACATTCCATATATCTTCCTTGGGCAAAACCTCTGCTCACCTTTCACCTTTTTTTAGCCCTCAGGAAAATAGCACAATGTAGCCAAAAGAGCCAGGAGCACCTGAATACCTGCTGGCTGTGTGAACTTGGGCAAAGTCATTTCACTGTGCCTCACTTCCTAACCTGGATCATCTTTCCTAGATGGGGTTGTTGGAAAAGATTAAGTGAGACATCCCCAAGAGTGCTTAGAGTAGGCATGCAGGACTCCCACATGGCCGACTGTGGCTCCAGTCCCAGACCTGGCGGCTTGCTTTCTCACTCTCCCTGTCTCTCCGTCTCTCTTTGATAAGCACATGTGCCCTTTAGTAAATTAAAAAAAAAGAAAACAATCATAAGTAAAACTAAATAATTATTTAAAAAGAGAAAAAAAAAAAAGAGTGCTAGAATCAGGCTTAGCTCTTAGTCATAGCTGATCATTATTCTGCTCGCCCCTTCGTGACCTGGACTACTCTCCTCATGCTGAAGCTAATGGCTTGGACCTGGGCCTGGCCTGACCCAGGAAAGGCTGGCAGGGAGGCATCCAGGTGAGGCTGCACCAAGGAACAATGTGCCTGCAGGCTCAGGAAGGAGCGGCGGCAGGAAGTACACCTCGGCAGGACCCTGCCCAGCTGCAGGCCACCCTCCGGGCCACGAGGTGGCGCTGTGAACAGTGCTATCCAGGTTTATATTGGGCCCCAGTCTCTCCCCCTTCCGGACAAAGACAGGGAATGCATCCCAGCCTGCAGTCTTTCTGCAACTGGCTTCAGCTCCCCAGAACCTGTTTAAGAAAAGGGAGGCAGGAAGTACACCTCGGCAGGACCCTGCCCAGCTGCAGGCCACCCTCCGGGCCACGAGGTGGCGCTGTGAACAGTGCTATCCAGGTTTATATTGGGCCCCAGTCTCTCCCCCTTCCGGACAAAGACAGGGAATGCATCCCAGCCTGCAGTCTTTCTGCAACTGGCTTCAGCTCCCCAGAACCTGTTTAAGAAAAGGGACAAGCTCCCTTTTACTGAACTTTTACTACGTCACAGGTATATGATCAGGTTTGCAAACAGTTGGCAAAGATATATATTATGAAAAAATATATATATGTATATTTCAAGTTTTCTTCTTCCACCAAATAAGCTCATACTTTAACTCCATCTTTCAAGAAACTTTTTTTTTTTTTTTTGCTATAGGGCGCATGCTCTTGCCAGAAAGACAGAGACAGAGAGACAGAAAGCGAGAAATCACCCCCCAGGGGGCATGGCAAGGCCGCATTCCCTTCTCCTCCATTCTCCTCTCAGGATCTTGGGCACCCATGCACACGCGCCCAGCGTGAGTTTAAGCCACCAGGTCCGGGACTCGAACCGTGGTCGACTACATGGGAGTCCAGCGACATAGCCATTACACCATCTGCTGGTCTCATTCCATGAACTTTTAAAAAAATATTTATTTAATTTCATTTGTTATAATTATTTTTTAATTTGACCAGAAAGAAACAGAAAGGGAAAGGGAGAAAGCAAGTCACCAGGTCCGAGACTTGAACTATGGTTTGGCTATGTGGGAATCCAGCACTTTTAACCACCATGCCACTTCTGGCTTCATCTTCCACAAACTTTTGAAGTCCTCTCATGTACTTTATTTCACTAACTCCCCATTTTACAGATGAAGAATTGAAACTCAGAACGGTGATTTATCTTTATTGAGTTCTCACAGCTAATGAAAGGCAAAAGTGGGATTTTTAAATAATAATTATTTAATTTTATTTATTATTATTTTTTAATTTGCTATAGGGCATGCATGCTCACCAGGAATAGAGAGAGAGAGAAGATGAGAAAGCAAGCCACCAGGTCTGGGATGTGAGCTGTGGTTGGCCATGTAGGAGTCTAGTGCCTCAACCACCACACCACATGCTGGCCCCCAGAAGTGGGATTTGAACCCAAGTTCTCATGCTCCAGAGCGCAAGCTCTCACTCCAGCTCTGAGTCCGTGCACTTCTGTCTGTACCCTGTAACAATTCAGCTGAGCCTAGTCTGCCGAGACCTTTCTGCCTTTCTGTCTCTCTGTCTCTCTGACAAGTGCACATGCCCTATAGCAAAAATCTCTCTAAAAATAAATAAATAAAATAGTAATAAGTAAAATTCAATAAATAAAAGTAAAATTTGTATAGTCTTTTTAAAGACTTCATTTTAGTTGTTATTATTATCATTTTTTCAGTTTAACCAAAGAGATACACAGAGAGAGACACACACACACAGAGGGAAAGTGGGAAAAGAAGCCGCCAGGTCCAGGACTTGAACTGCAGTCAGCCATGTGGGAGTCCAGCGCCCCAACCACCACGCTACCTGCCAGCCCCACAAATAACTCTTTTAAAAAGGAAGAAGAGAACTCACAGAAAAGGCACCCAATAAAATGTCACCCAACTCAAAAAACTGCTGTGTCCCTGGCATTCCCAAGTGGGCATGAGAAAGGGGTCTTTGCCACAGCAGTTTTGCTGTGTAGAAAGTGGATGTCCCTGCTGACCACACCCTGAAACGTCTCCCCCTTCCTCTCCTGCAGACCTCCAAAAAGCTGGTGAACTCCGTGGCAGGCTGTGCCGATGATGCCCTTGCTGGCCTGGTGGCCTGTGACCCCAACCTGCAGCTCCTGCAGGGCCACCGCGTGGCCCTCCGTTCTGACCTGGACAGCCTCAAGGGCCGGGTGGCACTGCTGTCAGGGGGCGGTTCTGGCCATGAGCCTGCCCATGCTGGTGAGTGCTGTGAAGTTTGAGGGGACAGGACTCCCAAGAGATAGCCACCACAGGTGTGAGGTGCAGGACAGAGCCCAGCAGAGTCAGGAGCCAGGCCTCGTTTCCAGGCTCCTACTCCCTCAGGCTGTGATCCCGGTCTAATCCCGACCTTTCTGGATCTCACATTCTACATCTATGAAAGTATGGGTTTGAGCCAAATCAATTCTAGGCTCATTCAGCTCTGAGTAAGTGATCCATGAATCATCCTAGACTTCCAGGCCCAACTGATCCATCCCTTCCTCCAGGAAGCCCCTCGACTCCTCCAGCCTGGAGCAGAGTCCCTCCTCTGAACATACCTGCCGTAGGTCTGCCGGCGAGGAATGGCGCAGAGTTTCACGGT